ACCTGGCGGGTTATTTATAAAGGCCCACCAAACTACCCCAGGTCCCTGGGTCAGCGTTTGCTAGCAACAGCCGGAGCAACCGCTATCCGGTTGAGAAAGCCGGTCTTGTGCGCCAAAATAACCTCCTGCAAGCTCCGAGCTTGGCATGGCCAAAGGTCACATAACTGTCTACATTTTTCCGCGATTCCTCTCACCCTTCCCCTTGCCATTTGGTCCGGCTTCAAAAAACCCTCACTACCGCGTAAACAGCCGCCTATTATCGACTCCCAACCCCCCGCCCCTATTCCCATGACTAATTTGAATGTAATGTCTTACATAATGGCCCGTGTGTTTACTTTTACCCCCTTCCCATAAAAAACGTAACGGCCCGATGAGAATTTATCGAACGCTTACGTGTGCTCGCTAACTGCTCTTCTGATAAATGTAATGTTCCTACATAAAAGTGAAACAGGAGCAACACGAGCGCACTTCATTTCAGAATTTGCAAACAAGTGTCCTACCGTTCAACGCTGCAGCCATTGACAGAACGTATCAATTCAGGTCACCACAACATAAGCTAACAGGCTCGGCCGCAGCGCTAATAAAGACCACATACGCGCTTAGACCGTACGTTGGCATCTAGACCAGTTTTCCTTGCATTTGTGCATTTCAACCTCCCATTCCAGATGTGCTGTTCACCACCTCCACCCTCGAGTATTATTTGGCTGCCAATACAATTGATTGAAAAGATTAATTAGACCCGTTTCTGCTACTATTTCTGCTTATGTCCCCGCGACGGAATTTCCAAACGTCAGGCGAATAAAAATCTTGGCCCAGCGATTGCGGATTTCTCTGCTCAGTCATACACTTTCCTGATCGTTCTGGCGGTAAAATATGAATGTCCGCTTTGCACCAAAGCTGATGACGCCTTAGGAAAGTTCAAAAAAGAATTGGTTTTTTTGTCGATCGCCCTTACACTTTTGGAAGCCGTTCAGGCTAGGCAGGTCGTTGGCTCTGACAATTTCGGCCCAGCTCTTCTCAGAAAGCCAGGCAGGAGCCGGGTTAGGATGAGGATTGCCCATTGCGACACCGCCCGTTAGTAGGAAGCGCCATGTTGTGTCATCAATCTCACCCCTGCACAAGAAGGAAAAAAATGATATGTTAGGTGTGTAGGGTTTCCATGTGGCATCTTCGAAAGGGCCTTGTGTATCATAACCACCTACTTACAAATTTTAAGTAGGTTGAATTACCCACAATGTTCCAGTTTTCTAGACGCCGGCCGTCGACCCAGAAGGGACTGGACGATGGCATTGAACTGCAGAAGGCCCCTCCGAAGGTCAGCGCATGCCATAACCGCTTAAGTCAGTATAGTAAGCAAACTGGCGTTTCAAATTAACTACGAGAATAATCGCTTACTTACAAATTTTAAGTAGGGTGGATTTCACAATCTTCAACCTTCTTTACTCGTTTGCCCTTTATTCTTGTTTGGGTTAGTGGCTCTACTAGAAATTGCACCTCAATGACCTCGCCCGAGGTTAGGGCACACTCCCCCGATAAATTCGTCTGAACAAGACTTTTGTTGATATACTTTCTACGTTACGTTTAACCATTTACTCATGCGCATTACGGAATACACCGTATAATAACTCATTAAAAGCAATTCTACTAAAAAGTTGGTTCCGTAAAAATTCCCGATTTGAGATACGACTAGCAAGGATCTTTTGACATAACATTGCCGGGGCATAATCTTACTCGGATACCAAGCCCAACTAGGCTATGCTTAGGTGGTAGGGATTCCTTACATGCCCAGCTCACCCCTGATAAGATTAGAGAACAATAACCGTACAAAATACAGGTGGCCTTGAAATATTGTTTTACCGGAAGAAAATTGAACAAGGCAAAGATCATGAGACTAGCAGAATTGATTGACGCCATACAATTTCACAACATATTATTCAACTGTAAACGCTCATTGCCTCTTTATAAGATAAATTACCCATCCCATTAAGTATCGACCCAGAGGGGTGAAACTTGATAGATAAATAGAGTAGGAACTATTAGTCTTACATGTGGATTCACATGGTGAGGGGGTAGAGTAGGGGGGGGGTATTTATTGCAGCAAAACATCTCATGTTACAGTGACAGCCTGTGAAACGTGATTAGAGAGTGGTTGGGGGGGGTCAAAGGACAGGGCAGCAGTCGGTTATAAGGGAGAGCGATGAGGCGTGAGAGGGTATGGGTTTATCGGTCATTACCACGATAATACGAGGTTGACCACATGATACAGGTGGTTTTGCCCTGATTTCCAGGGCAATTAGTATTAAAGTAAAGGTTAAGGTAAGGTTACGATTAAGGGTATGTTTTATGTTTGGGTTAGTGATAGGACTCGGAACGACGTTGTAGGGGTCTAAACCGTGAGTGGACTCAGAACACTACAATTATCACGCCCAGTTCCATACAGGAAGAAGAGGGGTAAGACCAGTAGGAATTGTTTATTG